GGATCATGACCTGAGCCGAAGGTAGACGCCCAACGACTGAGCCACCCAGGCGCCCCCCTTGACCAGGAATTCTTTGCAGCTCCCTGGAACTACTACATGGAGTTGCCCTCTGAGAGCCGCTCAGCCACATAAGTGCGTGTGGAAAGGGCAGCTCCCGGGTCCTCAGGCCTCTCCTGGTGGGCAGCTCGGGGCCGCAGGACGTCGGGTGCTCGGCCTTGCCCTACCTTAAGACCAGCAGCAGCCCTGGCGGCGCAGTAACGGGCAGACGTGACCCTGCCACGGGTTTGCGGAGACCTTCCCGCTCAAGTTCATGTTCCAGGGCTCAAGACGGTGACGGACTGCAGATGTTGAGCGAGTGGTAGATTCTTAAGCCAGGTTTTCGGGGGGGTTCTTCTCTGAAGGCACCGTTGATTTTCTCAGTGCCTGGCATCCTTATACGCGAGAGGCCCCCTCCTCCTCAGCCGCCAGACAGCCCAGACAGAAGCTCCCCGCTGTGGGACAAAGCCAGCCTTTCCCTGCCCGTGTCCTCCTCCTGCCGCAGGGTCAGCAGCTCCGAAGGAGACACACTGTCCCTGCCCTGTGCGGACGTCCCGGCCCCGCCCGCCTCCCTTGACTGGCCGCTGGGCGCCGCGCTGGATGGCCGCAGAGACTGGTCCGGTGCTCCCCGCCTGCGGCTTCCGGAGGGCCTCCGCGCTCCGCTCGGCCCCGTTCTCACTGTCACACGGGGTCTCAGATCATCCGCGATTCCCGCCTTGTCTCAGCTCTCACTGATGTGGAACTGAAATGTATTCTTAATCTTTGAGCTGGGTTTTGATTGTTAAGGAACCCAGCTTGGTGCAGTAACCACCACCTGAATTACTCTCCCACCTTGAACAGCTGAACCAGGCCAGGGTCGGAAACGGCGCACGTGGACCCTGGACAAGAGCAGTGTTGGATCCCAGAGAGAGGGGAGACTGAGCCCTGTGTGGACAGTGGCCAGGCCCCAGCACAGGAGGACCCAGAGCCTGGCGACTCAGGTTTGAGAGAGTTTGGAGTTGGGGGTGCCAGGGAGGCCAGAACTCGGGGGGCAGTGTGTAGAGGAGGGCGGCTGTCGTCGTGTAGCTGGGTGCTGATTAGCCACCGGTGTGGGCAGGAGGCCATGAAAGTGAGGACAGGTCCCCAGAAAGGAGCGGGTAGAACAATCCTCCGACCTCAAGGGGCCCAGGAACAGTGTGTGTTCCCGCCGGCCAGAAGGGCGCTGACGGGCCACCAGTAGGGTCCTCGGAAGGGTGTGGCCTCAGGCGTGGCACCAAATTAGCCTAAGCCAAAGCTGGTCTCAACCCACTTAACAAAGCTTAAAAGCAAGCCTCAGGGGATAACTTTTCAGTAGACTCAACAGAAGTGCGAAGTAACTTGCATGCAGGGAGGTGGGCTACGGGACCCCCGCTCCCTTGAAGTGATGGAGTCACTGACATTCAAAGCACATGGTGTTTTAGAGTCTCTCAGACGCACCCTGAACATCTGCTCATTCTGCAGCTTTAAAAATCACATGGTGGGGGCGCCTGGGTGGCTCAGTTGTTAAATGTCTGCCTTCGGCTCAGGTCATGATATCAGGGTCCTGGGATTGAGCCCCGCCTCGGACTCCCTGCTCAGCTCAGGGTCTGTTTGTCCCTCTCCGTCCACCCCTACCCCTACTGGTGCTCTCTCTGTGTCTCTCTCAAATAAATAAAGAAATAAAATCTTAAACAAAATCACACGGCGAACCTGTGTCCACACAAAAACCTGCACACGGATGTTTATAGCAGCTTTTATTCATAATTGCCAAAAAACGTTGGGAAGCAACCAAGTTGTCCTTCAGTATGGGGATGGATAAATCAAATGTTGGCCCATCCAGACAATGGAATATCGTTGGGTGCTAAAAAGAAATGAGCTGTCAAGCCATGAAAAGATACAGAGCAATCTTAAATGCGTATTGCTAATAAAAAGAAGCTGATCTGAAAAGACTACATACTGTAGGATTCTAGCTATACGAACTTCTGGAAAAGAATGTCTATGGAGACAGTAAAAGGATCAGTGGTGTCAGGAGTTGTGGGAGATGAATAG